TCAGCATGACTGGACTATAGCCTTGCAATTTATTGAGATTGGGAATCACTGATTTATACCCTCAGACTTGGGTTGCTTTGTTACCTGTGTGCCTGTGGGGTCATGAAGCTTGTATTTTGAATGCCTTTCTTTTAAATGTCTCCAGCAAAAATAAAACTGAAAGCAAAAGCACCCAGCCTCTTAAAGAGCCACTGTTCCCTCCCACCCCAGGATGTATCCTCGTTGGGTTGAAATTCAGAACAGGGAATCTCCATATTCTCCAGCATGGGACTACTCTAATTCTCCTGCAGAGCTATATCTTTATGTATCACTCAAACTCTCTTCTCGTGAGAAGAGTGCAGTTTTCCTTTTGCAATGGGAGTGGGCAGGGGAAGACTGCAGGATTAGAGAGAGAGAGACAGGCAGATGGGAAGCAGGCAGGCAGGCAGGGAGCTGTGACTTGTCAAGCAGCATTTTTCACTTGTCACAGATGAATTTTTGTTGGTATTTAATCGTTAAGTCATGTCCGACTCTTCATGACCCCATGGACCAAAGCACACCAGGCCCTCCTGTCTTCCACTGCCTCCCGGAGTATGGTCAAATTCATGTTGGTTGCTTCGATGACACTGTCCAAACATCTCGTCCTCTGTTGTCCCCTTCCCCTCTTGCCTTCACACTTTCCCAACATCAGGATCTTTTCCAGGGAGTCTTCTCATGAGATAGCCAAAATATTGTAGCCTCGGCTTCAGGATCTGTCCTTCCAGTAAGCACTCATGGTTGATTTCCTTCAGAATTGATATGTTTGTTCTCCTTGAAGTCCAGGGGACTCTCAAGAGCCTCCTCCAGCTGTCTAGGTTTGTCATTGCTTTCCTCCCAAGAAGTAGGCGTCTTTTAATTTCGTGACTGCTGTCACCATCTGCAGTGATCATGGAGCCCAATAAAGTAAAATCTGTCACTGCCTCGATATCTTCCCCTTCTATTTCCCAGGAGGTGATGACGATGATGGGGCCAGTTTTTTAGTTTTTTTGATGTTGAGCTTCAGACCAACATCTGCACTCTCCTCTTTCACCCTCATTAAGAGGTTCTTTAATTCCTCCTCACTTTCTGCCATCAGAGTGGTATCAACTGCATATCTGAGGTTGTTGCTATTTCTTCCAGCAATCTTAATTCCGGCTTGGGATTCATCCAGTCCAGCCTTTTGCAGGATGTATTCTGCATATTAGTAAAATAAGCAGCGGGACACTATAAAGCTTTGTCGTACTCCTGCAGAGCAGACAAGTGGGCGAGTGTATTAGATACACATAACTATTTCAGTCTGCAGTGGAAGTTCACAGTGACTAGAACTAAGTCATAACACAGGGTACCTCTCATTCAATTCTCACTGCCACCACAAATTCACTTATTAGATCAATGTGCTGAAGACAATGCATTGCAATCAATCAAAAAGGGTTTAATTGCTTCATCTAACCAACAACTTCAGCATTCATGCTGGACTTCCTTATATGAGTGTTGTGCAGGTTACTGAGAAATAGCTTGTGAAATAGCTAAAGCACTTTAAAGAATCATATTAATGTTAAGAACTGATTCTCTACAACTCCCTGCATTTGAGTCTTTTCACCTATGAAACATTCCTTTTAAACAACTGTAATTGTGCAATTGCAGTACACACCCGTTCGCTGCCTAGTCAAAACAAGGTTGAATTAACTCTAGTTTTTCTTTTCATGCAAACATGGAATGTAATTACAAAACAAAAAACAATATGCAAATTATAACTTTGTTACTGCAGCTGCTAAAAGAAAAAAAGTGTCATTCCTTCCCTATCTGGCATGCAATAATTTTTTTACATAGCTAATCTAAGAGAAAGGACAGATCCCTGAGCTAGTATTAAGCTATCTATTTTGGAAATTGCTCATTCATGGGGTCCGCATAAGTCAGGGATGACTTGATGGCACATAATGACAACAACAAATTGACTTAACACTGAGATTCTCAAATTGTGGTCTGTGGAGCAGGAGTATATTCAGGTGGTCCAGGGAACAGCCAAAAATCTGTGCACTTGGCCGTGAATTTCAAAGTTGTTTTGACCAGAACCATATTGTCAGACAGATTGAGAAGGTCCTGGCCTGGAAAGCTTTTTTAATTTTTTTTTTTTATAATACAGTGCGGTTTTTAACAACAATTGCAGTATTCTGAGATATTTTTCCCTTCACATTTAATTCAGAAGCAATGTATCTGCCCGTCCTTACGTTCTGAACAAGAAGAAAAAGAAACATTAAAGGGCCCATCAAGACCCCTCACAATACAGTGGTGCCTCACTTAGCGAGCACTCCGTTTAGCAATGAAATCACTTTGTGACGAACTTTGCGATGTTCCCTATGGGGGAATTTCACTTTGCGATGATCGGTACCCTGCTTCGGAAACCAATCATCGCAAAGCGACCATTTTCGCACAGCTGATCGGCTATTTCAAAATGGCCGCCGGTAAACAAAATGGCCACTCGCTGTTTTCTGGGACGGATTCCTCGCTTAAAAGGCACTGAAAATGGCCACACTATGGAGGATCTTCGCTGAACGGTGAGTTTTAAGCCCTGAGGAACGCATTCATCTGGTTTTAATGCGTTTCTATGGGCTTTTTAATATCACATAGAGACGTTTTTGTTCAACAGCGATTTTTGCGGAACGAATTAACGTTGCAATGCGAGGCACCACTGTACAGTAATATCAAGTGGTTCTCAAAAATAGCTGTTCAAGTTTGTGAAGGAGTCACTTCCCAGATGCCGTTATCTGCCAACAATATGGTTCTAGATCTTTGGTATTTTGTATCTCATCAATCAATTTATCAAAGAACCTAAGATGAAACCAAAAAATCATTTTTCCATGAATGGCACATATATATTTACATACATATTCTATTATTTATCCTTTATAGTAAGCTGGTGGGTAAGAAGAAATTGAGAGGAAGAAAAATAATGTTCAAAGTTACTAAAATATATCAAAAGGTTGCAGATGGATTATTCCTACACCTAGATCAGTAAGAGATGGCACATCACATTTGCAGGAGACTATGGGGATAGAAAGAGAATTCTGAGTAATTACTATGAAAACCCTGTGTGACACCTTGGGTGCAACTACACGGAGATTTGTCAGATAGTTTAGTCCGCTCTAAGACTAGACTAGTTCTCTCCTTTTTCTGCTGACCACAAAAGTAAGTGCCAGCACAAACCAGTCTATCCCCAAGGGTGTTCCTACCTGCATCTTTCTGGCTTCCTGTCTGGGACTACTTTTTTTAGATATGGGTAGGATCATTCCATTTTGGTTTGGTTTAAGTTTGTGTGATTGCTGAGAATGAACCAAAGTGAGTGGCTTTTTCTTTGCTGAAGCCATTTACTGAGAAATTCAATAAGAAACTTCCTTGTCACTTATTTCTGGATGGCAAGGGAAGGGAAGTCTGTTTTTCTACCCACTGCTGGCACCCATGCTACTTGTTGAGAATTACTGCTCTGAAAGATTTTGGATTTCTCACTAATCCATGTTACATACAATAAACAGTCCTAGATCAGGAGTGCCTCTAAGTCAGAACTGCTGCATGGCAGACAAATGGATGAAATAAATCAACCCCCAATGGCCACATGTCCTCCTTAGATCAGGAGTGCCTCTAAGCCATAACTGCTGCATCGCAGACAAATGAGTGAAATAACAAATCAACCCCCAATGGCCACATGTCCTCCACATTAGCATTTTTAAGCTCCTAAAATGTACAGCATCTATTATTTATCATCTAGCCAACTTATTATCGAACAAGATGTACTAGTGGTCTACTACCAAAATGGCATACAGTACTTTGCTTTAACATTTTTAGTCCTGGCAACTTGGTTTAAAACAGAAGCAGCTTTACTTTCTGTAAGTGAAATTACACTTTATATATTCTGATGTCTCACAAAGGTCTCTTACCCCACCCAGATTAAGCAAAAAAGCAGAGCATACAGGTTAAACCTTAGCTTCCGCATCTCCAAGAAGAAAAGAAAAAAAGGATGGAATAAAATCCAGATGTGCACAGATCCACATACAGCACAATTTGCATGCCAAGTGGGGCATGCACACCACAGCCTCATCACACATACAGCATTTTCTGGTTTTTTGAACTGTCTCTAATGAAAGTAAATAATCCTGTCATAACATTAGACAGACTTGAGTGCCACTTCACATATAAGACCAACTCGAGTGCCACTTCACACATTATTCCTATCCAGAAGGCACTGCTTTGCACTCTTGACATTTAGACAGCACTTTCCTTACATGTACATGTAAAAGTGTCACATCTGAGGACACATTCAGCTGTACCCCCATACATACACATTATGAGAAGCTGCTGAAAAGTCATGTCGACAGAGAAGGAACTCTATATGTCAAATTCTTAAACTCCCCAAAAGTATTTACACATATTCAATAATAATGGTTCTCTTCTTTGGCAAATGTGCACATCGCACATGCCACACTGCAGCTGAAAGGGCACTTGCCTGGGGGTGAGCTCGAGACTTCCAAGTAAACATGCATAGGTTTGCACTAGAATTTGTCAAGAAAGGATTTTGTCTTCATCTGCAATTCAAGAAGCTTGGGGCGGATCTACTATGAAACTAATGAATCTTAAGCTTCAGGGCCTCTAATCCCACAGGGACCACAGAAGCGACTTGAATCTACTTTTTTTTTTTAATTGTGGCTGTCCTGGAACAATGGGGCTGTCCTGGAACAACCCCATTGAAGAAGATACCCAGACCTCATGGATGAGTGCAAAGGGACCCCATAACAGGTCAAGCTTCAAGGCCCCAAAAATGTTGGTCTGCCACTCCGAAAAAGCCTACAGACGACGGAGCGGTTCAGCTCGGGGCGGATCACTTTGGCCCTCTTAAACTCTTAGCCCGACTTCCGAGGAGCTCTCCGGCCGGTCAGGGGGAGATCGCATAACGCGTGCGCTGAAGGACTACTCGCCGCAGCGCCCCTCAGTCCTTCCGCGCCCTCCGGTACCTGGTGCGTTTCCTCGCCGTGCTCCAGGTGGACGATGCCCTGGCTCCTGCCCTCCGTGTCGCTGAGCAGGTCATCCTCGGAGTCCTCGAAGACCGACGACGAGCCGGTGGAGGAGAGCGACGACGTCGAGAGGCGCCGCGAGGACTGCAGCAGGTGCAACGAGCTGTCGGTGGTCAGCCAAGCGCCGCCGTCCGGCTCGGCCCGAGGGAGCCCCGCGGGGCTGCGCTGCGCCTCCTCGCTGTCCTCCTCGGGAGTGACGGTCAGTTGGGGGATCACCGGCGGCAGCACCCCATTGCGGGGCGGCCGGCAGCTCTTCCTGGCCGGCTCGGGCAGCTGCCCGCTGGCCGTCGCGCAACGAGCTTCGAAGAGCGAGCGCAGCTCCCCCACGCTCAGCCGCTTGCTCCCGCCCAACTCGGGGCTACCCCCGCCGCCGCCGCCGCCGCCGCCGTCGCGGGCACTCCTGGGCTCCATGGTACAGAACCAGCGGCCGGCCGCAGCCGGGTGCTGGCGCCAGGCGACGGTGAAGAAGCGCCGCGAAGCCTGGCAGAGGCGGCGGCGGAGGAGGA